GAATTTTTCGGTGCCTAGCACCTCTTCAGCGACCTGAAATACTACAGTTAGCACCTCCACCGGAATCCTGAATCTTCAGTGGTGCCTTCTGGACTCTGACCTCCAGTATCCGCCAGTATGTTCGACGCATGCTCCTTGCGAATGCCGCGCCTTCTAGTGGTAAATGACTGACCACTACCGTTACCCTGCTTAAATAGTGAGGATGCCTAGTGAGTGCTTCTGCCATACGATATCACTGACCGCTCCCACCATTATCATTACCGTAGTCAGTGAATCAACTGCAGCACGTCACGTAGCTCATCCTTGCTATTCATTTCTGGGGATAGTCTTTCTTATTTTTCCAGTGCTTCTAATAACTTTCTTTCCAACGGATTTTCTATGGAGCGGTGTGTAATACTGTAATGGGTAAGTGCGGGGGATTTTCGTGTGCATGCATTTGGTGCGGTGCTTGGAGAGACTGTTGTCCGGATAGGAAGCTGGATTGTAAAAGGCCCTGCGGTGTTCATCTACCGTTTGTAGAGTGGCCTCTTTGTCTCTCCAATGTACTTCTGCCCGCATTCCCTGGCATTTATCAATATCCGTCCCCTAAGTTGTATTTTTCCGCCTTACAGTATGCGCAGCCACCCGTCCACATTTATCTTCATAAGGCCTGGAGTACGTGAGCAGTCTTTTAAGATTTTGGTGGTGGACGGAATATAAGCCGTATGGGGAGAGGCGTGCCTTTAACTATGGTGTTAACTTTTACCGCCGTACTTTCATTAAGATATGGCATTACCAAGGGAATGCCATCCGGTGTCGAGTACGGTTTCCATGTGTTAACACGGTGTACTGATGTATCCATTATCCCCGAGAATTCGGTCCACCATTGTATCTACTTGTTGCGACCGCTGCGTACATATCCTTTCTTTTGTCTTGATCAAATTGCGAAACTACGTTCGCTTTCATATATGACGGGTGGCAACTTCTGGAGTGTAGTAATACATTTTTCGACGCCGGTTCTTATACCAATACAGTTGTGTTGGTTCCGTGTTCTATCCTGACTTTAGTATTCAGGAATGGGACATATCCCTCCTCATCTGGGTTCTCCACAGTAAACTTGATGTTTGTGTACTGTGAGTTGAGGTGGAGAAGCGTCCCTTCCAGTTCTGATGATGAGGAACCAATGACGAAGACGTCATCAATGTACCTTTTGTAATGGACCATCTCACCGTCCGCGGACATAAAGACCCGGCTATGTTTCTTCCTGCGGTGGACCATCGGATAGAATCAGCTGGCTCCTTGTCAAGTTATTCTCCCCTCTCCTGAGCCACTGTATCATCGCATTTAATCAATACAGGAGACTTCATGGCATCCCTCGACCAATGCCTTATCCCAGCAGAAGCTAGCTATGCTAGCTTCGATGCCTGTATCTTTGTATACAAATGTCAACACCCGGATGCAATTGATGCTGTAATGGACTTATGGAGCCAGCACAGACGGGAAATCTTCGTTTTTGGCCTGGAAGAAGAAGATCTGCGGAAGTTGTTTAAGGCAACGTTGGAGTGTAACATATTCCAATTTGACGGAAGGTTCTATAAACAACATCGGGGGCTAGCCATGGATTACGAATAGCACCCTTACTAGCCATCCTATTCCTTGACGCATAGAACGCCGGTCGCTAAACGTCGCGGAATATTGTTTTACAAAAGGGACATTGATGACGTCTTCGTCATTGGTTCCTCATCATCAGAACTGGAAGGGACGCTTCTCAACCTCAACTCACAGGACACAAACATCAGTTTACTGTGGAGAACCCAGATGAGGAGGCATATGTCCCATTCCTGAATACTAAAGTCAGGATAGAACACGGAACCAAACAACTGTATTGGTATAAGAAACCGGCGTCGAAAAATGTATTACTACACTCCAGAAGTTGCCACCCGTCATATATGAAAGCGAACGTAGTTCGCAATTTGATCAAGACAAAAGAAAGGATATGTACGCAGCGGTCGCAACAATAGATACAATGGTTGGACCGAATTCTCGGGGATAATGGATACATCAGTACACGTGTTAACACATGGGAAACCGTACTCGACACCGGATTGGCATTCCTTGGTAATGATATCTTAATGAAAGTACGGCGGTAAAAGTTAACACCATAGTTAAAGGCACGCCTCTCCCCATACGGCCTTATATTCCGTCCACCACCAAATCTTAAAGGACTGCTCACGTACTCCAGGCCTTATGAAGATAAATGTGGACGAGGTGGCTGCGCATACTGTAATGGCGGAAAAATATGTCAACTTAGGGGACGGTTATTTGATAAAATGCCAGGATGCGGGCAGAAGTACATTGGAGAGACAAAGAGGGCACTCTACAAACGGTTAGATGAACACCGCAGGGCCTTTTACAATCCAGCTTCCTATCCGGACAACAGTCTCTCAAGCACCGCACCAAATTGCATGCACACGAAAAATCCTCCCGCACTTACCATTACAGTATTACACCGCTCCATAGAAAATCCGTTGGAAAGAAAGTTATTAGAAGCACTGGAAATAAGAAGACTATCCCCAGAAATGAATAGCAAGGATGAGTCTACGTGACGCGCTGCAGTTGATTTCACTGACTACGGTAATGATAATGGTGGAGCGGTCAGTGATATCGTATGCAAAGCACTCACTAGGCATCCTCACTAATTTAAGCAGGTAACGCGGTAGGGGTCAGTCATTTACCACTAGAAGGCGCGGCATTCGCAAGGAGCAGCGTCGACATACTGGCGGATACTGGAGGTCAGAGTCCAGAAGGCACCACTGAAGATTCAGGATTCCGGTGGGAGGTGGCTAACTGTAGTATTTCAGGTCGCTGAGAAGGTGCTAGGCACCGAAATATTCGAAGAAGAAAGATTATAAACAATATAAAAAATTTTTGTGAAAACTTTGGATTCTTTTGAATCTTTGAGTCTTTCGCAATAAATTTTGGGCGGGCCTCTTTTATGTGTTCAACATTCAGATGTGCACAATTGTTTCGTTAACAATAAAGAAATTTTCAAGATTCCGGCTTCTATCAAAATACTTTCGCAGGAGCTGGATTTGTCAGGAGTCTCTCGCAGAGGGTACTTTGACTCCCAGAATATGAATATCACGTCAACCTGGTCATGGTGCTCGCGCCACCTTTCATAATTTTCGTAAGAACCATAAGGGGGTCGTACTTGTCTTCAAGGAAAGTTGTTTTTCAACTGCCGGTTTTCCCGTTTTACGCATGCCATACGCCGCCTAGTTGGCGCAATATCATTGCTGCCTCTTCTACTGTTAGTAGGTCAAACGTGTCTCGCCCCACCCCATCCTCTTAAAAATTCAGGGCAATCGACAGCATATTTGTTGGGCTTCGATAAGATGGTAGGAGGGTTACTAGAGGGGGACGTCGTTTCACCCTTCTGAGGCAGAGGGAGGGGAGGGCAGGTAGCATTGACCCCGCCATTTTCCCAAGACGTGCCCTAGCTTGTGCCATGGGAGCCAGCACCTGTGGTGGAAGGGCCAGGTATTTTTGCGCGAAGTATTGTGGCATTCGTGTTGATGGGGAAAACCAACCTACCGAACAGTTTAGCGGTAGTGGAGGTGCCATCGCAGTTGTGGTGCAGGCGCCAAGCGCTTACCGTTTTGAATCGGTGTGGTATTCGTTTTCGGGGGTCAGACGTAACCCAGCGCGGAGTCACACTCCGAGCCAAGTCCTTTCCAGTGGTGGATATCCATGAAAATCTAGCCTGAATTTCGATTATAGTGGGATCGTGAAGGTAAATAGTGCCCAAGTGACCCAAGGACTCTCCGCTCGCTTTGTTCACTAGTAATGTTCCCGAGACCTAGAGTTTCACAAGCTAGACGTTACTTGTCCACTATACAAGGGGGCCCACAAAAAAGACTTTTTTCTTCCTTGACATTCGAGGCGTTGTAAGTTACACTTTATTGAATTTTTATCGGATATTTTTCCCACCATATTAAAGAGCATATCAAATACTATTATGATACTCCGCCACAGCCTTCTGAAGGAGCGCCATCGAGAGATTCTGGCACACGACTGCGATATGGTGCCCAAGATCAGCGAGATAGTCGATTTCTCCGCCACCGTAGACCACCCTATTGAACTCCGCCCGAACCAGGTAGTTGAAGGGGTTTGGGTCAGATGATCTGCTTGAATATTCCACCTTCCTAGGTACTCAATGCCCCTCCATTCCAAGTAGGCGAGTGTTTCCCCAACGCCCTTCGATTTCATGTGGTGGCGCTAAATGCTGTGGCAGTACAAAGTTTCCAAGAAGGTACGAGCGACGACGTGTGGGTGAATATTCTTCTCGAGTTGCTCTATGTAACCGCCAGTGCTCACCTTCAGTCCCGTTGCCCGCGAAGAAAATATTGGTCTTTCCAGTCCAGGTACCTCCGGTCCATACCATCAACCCGCTCCTTGACGACTGCGGTGAAGATGATGTCCTAGACCGTAGCGGTGTTGTCGGAGCTGCTCGATGTTGGAGGCCTTCCAGATTGAGAGTACTAGTCTCCAGGTAGCTACCCATGGGTGACTCCACACTAGAAGTTTCGCAGCTGTTTGGAGGTGACATGAATTGCAAAGGTCTTCTCCAGTCAGGCTGCGACTGGAGGTGACCTCATATTTTGGTGTACATGAAGGTGAGGGCGAGGGCCAGCTCCTGCTTATCGAGGAACATCTTGGGTACCTTCGCCCTGCTACTCGTATCCACGTTCTCTGTCTGGGTTGCGAAAACTTTGCTGATATGTGACTCGGTCGAAATGTCTTTTTTTGCCCCCCCCCCCTGTATGTGCTCAACAATAGATGCTATCTGTGACTGTAAAAAAAACCATTTCCAGAGCTTGGCAAAAGTGCAAAATATTGTGAGCGTGGTTGTCTCAACACGCATTCTGAAGTTTTCATTAAATTTACTGGTTGTTTTGCAACAATTCTTGGCTACTTTCCAACGAAGTGTCCTTCTTGTGCAAAGATTATTGTTTCTAGGCATGACAATCACTTACACACTAGAAGTTAGCAGAGCCCGTTTCTGGGGTTTTGCGAAATTGCTAGCACGATGGAAAGGATCGATATATCGATTAATGTATAGGGAAATGATTTGTTTTCTTGTAGCTTATTATACTGTTATGTTAGTGTACAGATATCTCTCTGACGACAGTATGAAAAGGTAACATTCTTTTCATTTCAATTGTGATGTACACTCCATATCCCAGGGAAGAGAGGGCGTGACCTTCGCTCGAATGTGGCGGCGATTGCGCTTTTGGTGGAATGTGGCCGTTTGAGGGCAATCGTAATCAAGCCTTGTATAATATAATAAGATGCTAATCTACAAAACTTAAAGGTACAAAGAGAAAAGACGCCATGTTCAGACCAAGTACGCGGTCACGCCCACCCTGCCTCCGAGAATGTTAGTACTGTTGGAAGAATACTGTTTCAAAGTTCATTTAATTTAGATCATTCGAATCACTGGCAGTTTACTGTCGTGATTTTACCTCTGTTGTACCAATAACCTTTGTGATGGGTTTCTACGTTACCTTTATTGTTGGCAGATGGTGGCAGCAATACGTGAACATTCCGTGGCCAGATAAGTGAGATCGTTATATGGTTGGCATTTGTTTATAGACTTGTTCATTTTTGCTTCATGCTGCTGTCGTTACATTCGGAGCGTTTGTCTGATTGGTGGACTACCTGTGAACACCAATTACAGACATACTCCACATGCGCCGCGCATTTTTAGTGTCTGTCCCATCATAGACTTTGACTGATTGCTGCTTTTGTGTCGCCGTCTTTTTTCATCGTATCTATTTTACATTATAATAATTGTAATGTGCGGGGAGCCATTGGAATTCTTGGAAAAAAGGATGGACTCTCAGTTACTTGGGTTCGACTTGAGAATGGGGAAAGTGCCCCACCCAAATAATAGCGGTTGAACGGAAATTCCTGTGACACGTTGCAAATTTTGTTCCATAAAGGAGTTTTAACAAGTTTCGAACCTTTTGACTCTTGCTATTAATGCCAGTGCTATCAATCACCCACATTCACCGACGAATTTCAGAAAGTTCATTGCACTGGGACTGCCGGGGTGAAGCGCGGGTTTTTGTTTCCTTTTTTCCTGCGACGACCGTAAGCCCGCGAAGCGTGTTCGGAGTCTGCTCTGGCTTCTCTCCAGTCCACTCCCATCGTACTCCCATCGTTCGCAAGAATAGTCACTTTATTCGGGTTTTCAATGGATCCCTTCAGAGCAGAACTTTGAGCGGCAACTCGGAGAAGAGTTCGACCGCTTCTCCTCATTGTTGTCGCTTCTCATCTGGGAACAAGGTCGAAAAATTGGAATGCTGCCTAGCAGGTGGGCAGGACACCTGAGTAGCATGCATGATTACCTTGCAGGTCGTGGTGGCTCGGTTCATTAAAAGAAAATTAAATCTGAAATTCCACCCAGTGTGACATGGAACTTTTCGTTTAACCTGACATTTCCGGTTCAAGCAGTTCATGGCATTGTTGACTGAGGACTCGTAGGGTGATATTCTAGGGTATGTATACAAATATCTGCGTATGTTCAAGGCGGTGATGTGCGAGGTCGTATGATCCGTCGAGCAATGGCACGCTACATCAACCTCATATCCGCTCTGACCTTTCAGGTGATTTTTTGCTAGTTACCAGTGTAGAGGGTCTTCTGTTACCTCCCTAAAGATTCGAATATCAAGTCCATTGCCTAAGCAAATTTTCAAGACCACGTTCCTCAATTTGCAAGGTTTGAGAAAAATTCACAGCTCTTTTGAATTTGAACACTGAACAGACTGATCCGTTCCTAGAAAAATTCTGATAGCCAAGATTAGAGCTCATTGCAAGAATTTTTCAGAATATCTCAACTGTGATAAAACGTCGATTTCCAACCATTTCTCATCTAGTAGAGGCTGGAATTCTAACAGCAGAAGAGAAGGACATGCTAGACAACACGCAAACTCCACATGGGATTTGGTAGGTAACTACATATGTTCAATAAAAGTATTGAGTCTGCTTTCTTAAGGTGGATCCTCACGTCAAAGCTGCTCATTCCGCAATTAATAGTCTTTACTTTTCGTTGAGTATATTTTGCCGTTTATGTTTTACTGCAGAAAGCCATCAATCACTCCTTTGTTGGCACTTCCTTCTCCATAAAATCTCGTGCGTACGATCCAAAAGGTCTCAATCGGGAACTTCGCCACAATCTCAATTTCATGAAATTTCCTAGCAAGTACTAAAAAGTGCGTAAACTCTACTTGTCGAACTCGCTCATGAGGAGAATACTGCTCTTGATATTGATTCTCAAACTGATTGAACGATTCCAGTACACATTCATTTGGATCATGAGCAGAAGTTGGATGCATGGCGCACTCTAAGTACTGCATCTGAAAAGATCCTGTTGGGAGACCTAAAGACAGATACCTTCTTCTTTGGAGGGCCTTTTCATTAAATTTGTGATAGAAGAATCTGAAGAGACTGGTTGGGAGTAATGCTTCTTGATCTTTAGGTATTACTTTCTATAACTTGGAGTGGTGTAGTGACAAGGGGTACCGCTTACCAGCCCACATCGGCTCCCCCGGGGCCACATGCCAAGTCACCTCGGAGGCCGTCCCTGCGCTCAACCAACTTGCAGGCTTCCTTCCTTGTTCAAGTAGCCTTTTCCGCAGTCTCTGCTAATAAGATTGCACCACCTTTGCGGCTTCAAACTGAGTAACCAGGCCCTGCGGTCCTCAAAAGGCTGCGTTTATAGTTTGCGGCAGCGTAGCGCTTTCTGTGTACGCCAGCGGCAGTGCCGGGGAGAGGATGCATATCGATCTAGCGTTCCCAGCGTCACCAGCGTCACGCTGTTTCTCCAGCGTTTCACCAGCGTTTTGCTAGCGTTTGCAGCGGCAGGGGAGTAGAGACTATGGGAGAGCTAGAGGGTACAAAACACATCAATTGCGCGTTCTCACTCGCGCTCGGCAGTCCTACAATGCACATCGCTTCTGCGTCTCCGACGGCCACATAGTCTCTACCATACACATCGATTCCGCGTCTCTGCCGGCCACATAATCTCTACAATACACGTCGATTCCGTGTCTCTCACGGCCACATAGTCTCTACTCCCTGCCGCTGCAAGCGCTAGCAAAACGCTGGTGCCGCTGGAGAAACGCTGGAGAAACGCTCGAGAAACGCTGGTGAAGCTAGATCGATAGCTATGCTTCCCGTGCTCTCGCTACGCCAGCGTACGCTGGCGTGCCGCTAGCGTACGCTGGTGACGCTGGTGAAGCTAGATCGATATCTATCCTTTCCCCGGCACTGCCGCTGGCGTACACTGGAAGTGCTACGCTACGCTGCCGCAAAGTATAAACGCAGCCTAAGAGGCGTTCTTACTTGGTGTGTTCTCCATGACTTTTTCTTACTTTTTTCTTCCCTGCAAAGTCACTTAGTGGCGATAGGTTCGTTATTGAACGCTACTATCCGCAAGATGCAATCACGTGGTTTGTCTTTAAAAACGCCACTCTGAATAAGGGCAGAATGCGTGGGACATCTCAGTTTGGAGGACTCGATCAGATCGGAAAGCTTCATCCTTTCATCTCCCTTTAGGTGGGTGCCGTCTCAATGGTTTTGTCAACTGGCTGCCACTGCTAGAAAGGAAGGTCGAATTCACGATGATTTACACTTAAAGTCACTGATAGATGTGAGTATACTTTCCCACATTTCCTACAACTTCCTAGCATTTCTTTCTCGTAGGACTGCCTCGAATATCGTGGTCAGTGTGGAATGATTTGGTCATATGATTGGATTTCAGTACCTCTAGTTTATACACAGGTATCATGCACTTTTTATGTCCTCCTCAGATATCATAGGTAGCGTAGTTTCTAGTCGACTTGAATTTTTATTTTTCAGCTTGTGACGATAGCTGTTTACAGTTTCTTTGTAGCATGCTTGTTTGGTAGGCAGTTTTTGCTTTTCGAGGTAAGTTGGTTTTCCACCCTGGGGTGCAAAAAGCTTCAGAGCCACACAGGTTTCAACCCTACTGTGACCACGCTGTTATCGTGTATACTCCACAACTATAAGACTTTTTGAGTCCATTTTGGGCTCCGCATTCTGCCGTGACTTGTTGCCATGCACTCGTTTTCGCTGAAGATTCGGTGGGCGGGGAGGTTCGGCGCGGCGCCAAACCCTTCTCCACAAGTTATTGAAGCCGGCAAGCCACAACAATAGGTAGAGACTGGCCGGCGCTGCCCCAAACCCAGAACCGTTGACACGACTGAAAAGGGCGTGTTTGGCGTCTAGTGTGATCGAGGCAGGGTACTTTTGACACCGTCGTTTGACACAAGGTGTGAGGGTGGCAGGGTACTTTTGACACCGTCGTTTCACGCACCCTGATGATGTGCCCTGGTTGCAAGTTGTGGAAGAAGCACAGTGATCAACCAGGAGGAGCTGTCGCAAAAGTTGCAAAGGTAAAGCTACTCCAGACACTGCTTTCCAAGGGTTTTTCGTGGAGATATCTCTGTAACGATTCTCATATTGCTGCACTCACCCATTTAAGTTAGATTGAGTGTACATATGTACAGCGTGAGGAACCCAACCCTATTCCCCTTTTCTGAGATGAACATAAATGCAAAGGGAACGTTCGCAGAACTCCGTTGACGGTCAAAGACCGAGAACGTCAGCACGCATCAGAGCGGAGGCACTGGGTTCGCTAATTCAGTTGGCGGTCTAAAATGAGTGTTGAGCGGTGCTAGAGCGACATAAACTGGGATAGAGCGATCGAAATTAAGAAAAGGGAGAAATGAGGCTATTACGTTGCAGAAGGAAGCAATGGAACCCGTATTCCATTGATTTCTTGGCGAAGAATGAGTCAGCTGCCATCATGCCCTCATAAGGCAACGTGAGCGCCACACTCTGCCTCGTGAACGCGAGGGTCTGAGTGCAAATGGGTAGATATTATTGGTTGCGGTGACCGTCTGGAGGCGTCGGAAACTCAAATAAAAGGGCTGGAACTATTGTGTCTTGCTGAGTCATTTTGAGCGCTTGCGCTACACAGAGCTTTAGACATAGGCAAATTCATTATTCGCTTATCTTAGTTACCGTACGGACTGCCTCCAAGGGATGGGAAATGAACCACGATGCATGCAATGTTTATCATTTATCTATAGAAAGGTCTAGAAGTGAGAGAAAACACGATTTTTCTAGAGGAAACATTGAATCGCACAGATTTTCACCGAAGAGAGGAGTTGCGCGACTCGAAGGCAGTGGGCACGAAGGCTGGGGTGTACGATTAGTGCCAACGTCATGGGTGTAAGAGCTGTGAGAGGTCGTATGGCCACACCCCGCTCAGCCCTTCCACCAATGACGTTGGCAGTGACCGCCCGCCTCCAGCTTGTGCTCACCGCCTTCAAGATTACAGTAACCTCCCACTTGTCGTAGATGAGTGTAGGATCGCGAGACAACATGTTGTAGAAATCTTCTTCTGAGGGGGTGTCAGATCAGCACTGTTACGGTAATAGCTATTAGGTTATCCCACTCAAAAATGTCGATGGTTTCATTCGTTAAGTAGATCTCTCCTTCACCAGTGACCCGCTCCCAGTGCCCCCAAAACCTTTGGACCTCTGGTACCTTCTTTTTTTCCAGCAAGTGTGAGTAAATTGCTGTCCTTGCCAATTTCGGCGAATGACAAAACGTTGCTAGGCGTTTGCCGTCGGAAAGTACCCTCAACTGACCAGAACAGTTAAAATCGTAGAACTCGAACGGCTTTATGTTGGGCGAAGGGGCGATTGAACCCAGGTCCCGGGGGGGGGGGGTGTTTGTGTACCAGCCCTGCCCTACAATACAGTCACTCGGGGTCTGGCACAATGACGAGCAGCGGTGGTCGTCTTGTAGTTGTGTGATACCATCCATTTGCCGATCTGATTGCCGACGAACAGGCAATATAAACCGACAGCGACGACTTTATTCTCTGTATAGAGCCGTCTAAAAGCCACAGTGTGGGAATCTTTCGCTATGATGATCATCCACTTGCGCCCACGCAACTCCTCATGGTAGACCTCAAGCGGCTTCTCACTGCATTTATACCAAATTGACTATTGTGAGTTTTGGCTCGAGGTTCAAGACCACCCACATTTCATTTGCGGCTGGGGTACGTTTTCACAGTCGTGAATGACATCGCATGCTGAGAACATTACTGCTAGAGGCATAGAATCGCTACTGCATTCGGGCTTCCACAATAAATTAGGTACTTATGCGCAGACCTTACCACCTCAGTTTATCGGACATGTCTCCGGCAGCAGGTGCAGCGGGGATGTCAGTCTCACGGGAAAGCCTCGACAAAGGTCCAGCCTCTCTTGATCAGACATTCAGCGCTCGACTTCATCCACCCTTTTTCCTTGGGCAGGATGAAGATTATGGGACCATTCACCGGCAACAAATTTTTTTCCTTTCTTCCTTCTTCAAGCTCCTGAACCAAACATTCCACCTTGTATGTCGAGAGCACAATTGCACACAACTACTGGTCCGGCGCAGGTCAAATTTGAGCAGCGCACTTTCCTCTTATGACGCCTGATTTCAAAATCCGGCGCTGATTTCATCACTCAGGCTACTTTTCAATTTCTCGAAAACTTCCTCTGTGGGTAGGTTCGCCAATTTCAGTTGCATAGCTAAAGGTACTAGTTTTTAGATGGTTATACTAGCCCGCTGCCCTATCCCCTTTGCTTTTCTGCTATTCCTCTACATGTCTCGGCACTTTTGAATGGGATGACCTAATAGGTGCATGGTCGATCTGCTCAAGTTGTAATAAACAAAAACATTGTCGCTCCCAGCGGCTGATTTTCGTTTGCAGGACGCCAAAGGCCCAAAGCGCACTCGATTGATTTCTACGTGCCAGTATTTTCAATGTTCCAATTCTTTTTCTATGTTGGATGGCTCAAAGTGGCTGAATCAATGATTTGTCCTTTTGGAGAAGACGACGACGACTTCGACCTGAATTGTAACTGCTTGATTTCCTTGAATTTGATCAGAAGGTGTGACGACGGTTGCGTTTCAGGGATAGTCGACCGAAATCTTCAAGTGAGTCTCTTGATCGTTGACGGCCTACATGGCGGTCAACCCCCTCTCACACAAGACCCCTTCTGGGATTCGATCAGCGCCGAACTACCGTATACCCAGGGAGCGTCTAAATATCGTGCAGATCCGTTTGTCGGCTCAACAATGGCTATGGAGTTAGCAAAATATTAATTAATTAGGTATTTGAATTATATAATGAATTATAATGTCTTTGAAGCATATCCGGTCATGACGCTGAGTGGGAGGTGGAGCAGATGCCGGCCATCACTGAAGAGGACTGTCATGGTTTAAACAAGAATAGTTGCTCACGTGATGATGACCTTGACAGTGTATATAGTCGGTAGGTAACTCACTTTTATACCTTTAGTAAGTTCTCGTATCACAACTCATTTCATGAATAGATCGAGTTAATTTTGAGGAAATATGAACGACGTCATCGCAGACGGCTCGGCGCTCTTCTTCTTGGCTACTCTCGACAGACGCTCTCCTCGAGGTTTGGCTCACGTAAAAGCGTGAACTCAGTCCCGTCAAGGTCTTCTATTAGCTCTAACTTAGTTGTGACCAGATGTCTTTAATTGGCGTTTGAAGATGCGTCGGTCGATCTCCACCTCAGGTTAAGCTTTCACTCGCCGAACAGAACTTCTCTTATGCACAGCGTCAAAAGTGCAGTTTGGACGCAAATGAAGTATGTCATTGTTTCTTTTCTTGGGGCTGTAAGCTTGGAATGCCATCTCAGAATTATTGCAGGACCACGAAGGACTGAATGGTAGCTGCAGTGCATTATCCCTAGTGAATGAAACCAGTCAGCCATTTTCTTCCTCAGCTTGTTCTGTCAACGCAGTAGGTTTTCACTCATGACCTGACTCCGTGATCCTTCTCACATCACTATTCCTCTCAGGCCATATTTGAGCTCATTTAAGATAATCCATGCGGCAATACCTGGGAGATATTCTTACTTTCAACAAAGAACTGCCCAACTGCTTGGCGATTTCGTCGTGCATAAAGTTCCTACCTCTTCGTGGAATAGGGAGGTGGGGTGGGAGGAGAGGTGAGGGTGTCTGTCATGATAGTTGTGATGGCGGTGACGATTGCGTATTTGTGGGTAGTGGCCAGTATGGGCAAAGTCGGGTGTCAGTTCTGTCCATCGGCATTTTGTTACGCCGCCTGCACTCTCTTATCAGGTACTGCCTGGGGAGACGTGCAACAGGATCGTCCGGGGCAGCGCCCGCGGCACGCGGCGCGTCGCGTGGCGAATGACTCAGCAGCTCATTTACGTGCATTTTCTAGCCGCTAGGTTTGCGACTGGAGCAAATGATTTACTACAGCGTACATCCGCAACATTTAACAGGTTTCATCGATAGTTGAAAATCTAACGGTTTTTCTTGATAGCAACACACAATTGTTTGGCGGTTTCATAGACGCAATTTCAGGAAATAAACACATACAGAAGAAATCACATAAGGCCGTGATTCTCCCTATGTTTATGTGGTTCACATGATTTGCGCAGTCGCCAGTGTCAATATAATAGACGGATGGCCAAGGTTTCCTGTGAGCTGCTGTAAAAGATGACATTCCAGAGCAAATGTTAAAGAGCCCAGTGAATTTCGTGCTCTATTGAACTTTTTCATACTCTAACTGAACACTTAACCGTAATTGAACACAGTTCCTGGGTAATATCAATCTTTACCTTCCCTTCAATAGCCCTATTCAACCCGCCAGAAGCACGCTTTGTCTTCTCGTCGCAAGTATGTCGCAGGCCACGCCCACCAGTTGCACCGGACGATTCTCTTGCTACACACCCCGCTGCCTGCGTATCCACTTCGATCGACAACTGCACACCGTCGCCTAGCTCACATTTATGACCGTGGACAACAGGGTAGGCCATATGTTGCGGATCCCCAGCGAGGAAATCGTTTGGCCGGTGGAGTGAGGGAAGGAGTCCGTATTTGCTTTAGTGAAAGATGTTCTGATGGTTTACTTTCCTCGATTCCCCGTTTTTCACATGCTCTATTTCTAAACCTCCTCTCCCTCCCGTCGGCAATTTTTTTTGGGAAAAACTATCGAATTTTGGTAAAAAAAAACTCCGGAAACATGGTAAGAATGTGGAAGAATCTAGGGAGATGGTAGCTACACTGCGTCCCAAAAGTATACTTCCACCCATAAATCTTACAATATCCCTCCCTACATTTCAAAAAACGTTTTCAAAAAAAGCCTCTAGGTATAAAATGTGGTAATTACCAGTACCAATTTGCATGCCAACTCCGAGAGCTGACTTTCCAGAACAACTTCAACTTTCTTAATTTTTTGAAAATTTCTCACTCTGACAGTGTCCCACAAGTATACTTCCACTAAACGAATCGATTCAAAAAACAACAAGTGTGCGACAAAGTGGCAGGAGAGTGAAAGAGTTCAGGGAGATGGAGGATGGGAGGAGAGGGGGAGGGGGCTTGTCGTACCAAGGGAGAAAATTTTGAGGTTGATTCGTACCCTGCAAAGCTTTACCCCAATGGCAAGATGTGCCCTGTTGGGAAATCACCCACACACTTCCGGAATATATACAGTCGTCATCCGGTGAGTTGATTATTGCGGTAAGGATGAGACGCGGCCGCGGTGTGTTGCGAGCACGGTGATCAGCTGTTTCCAGCCTAATTTAGCCATTTTCTCCCAAGTTTACGCTGTTTTGGCTGCGTTTCTCACGATTAGTTGTTCCTTGCCTCCACAAGGTAAAATTATGATTGAGATTCTCCTGGTTTTTAAGCACAATTAATTAGTTAAGCAGAAACTGTACAAATACCTGAAGAAAAAATCGTAAAAACAGTATTGCAAAGACAAAAAGACGCTCTTTCCTAATATACTTCATAAAGACGAAACAACTAACGTTAAAAAAATGGAAAATAATCGTGAGAAAAGTAGCCAAAACAGCGTAAACTAGGGAGAAAATGGCTAAAATACAGCTGACCGCCGCGCTCGCAACATACCGCTGCCGCGTCGCGTCCCTTGCCACCCAAATCAAGTCACCGATGACGACTGTAATATGCCCTGGATGTTGTAATTCCCTCTAGGCACCGATGATCTCTAATCTAAAATAGGTGCCTTAAAGTCCACTATTTTGAGCTCTAATTATATTACCTTCACCTGAAAAACTAATAAACTTATAAGATTCATTCATTAAACAATATCCCGAGAATCAATAATGTATCTTCATATCACGGCTCTCTGAATGTTTCGTTTGTCAGATCGACGTTTCTCATCCGGTCGCAGAAGATGTTCCGTCGGCCGTTTGCAGCAGTATTTCTGCTGACCCCACAACCAAAAATGGTAGTGCAGGGGTACAGCAGTAGCCGCAGTACTGTGGTTTTTACTAGTACTGCGCTAAATTAGTGCAGCATTAGGCTGGACTCCTGAAAACCAACTTAGGAGTAGGCGCATTTCTGGAATTTACAAAACGGTCAAACTTGTAGTTATTTGACCACTGCTTCGGTTAACTGATTTGGTAATTACTCGTGTTAATGTGATTCAGCACCACACACGCACTTGATATTGAAATTATTCAAACGACCTGTGAACTCCACTGGATGATAAGGACATCGTTGTAAAAAAATGCTGTGGAAACTATGAAACTCTTACCCCTGTGGTAAGCTGCTCCTCACCAGGTACTTGCTTGTATGCTGAGGGATTAGCACAACGGCCCTGTACCTTTTTCTTACCGGTCTATGGTTGTAATATTTACTTGGTATGAGTGATACTGTTTAACTGACATAGTGCACTGCAACTTGTTCTCTACTGCCAGAATTATACTGTTGCACATCACTGATTGTTGCTTTCACCTTATCGAGAGTCTCTTTATCTTTCTCAGAAATTTTGGTCATCTCCATTTCATAAGATATGTAGGACGAGTTGTAGTGATGGAAGAATAGTAATTTAGGCCTCATCTTTTCGATGACTTGAAGACACCTCTTACAGTTCTGCTGCGTTAGTGTTCAAATATGATTTTCTAGGTGCTAATCGACTTACCAGCCTATAAGAAAGTGTGCACAGCCGTCGAAGGCGCCCGAGGTAAAACCCCAGGATCAAATCATTTTTCTAATATGCGAGACATTGCTGCGCCGTGAGAGACCACAGACTAGGTGTGAGGGAACAGGAATACGAGCTGGAAGGCAAAAGATGTCAAAAGGCCTGTCTTAAACAACACAGCGTCGCACCTGTCTATAGATATAGGACTGCTGGCATATCTGTTCCCCAGATGAGTGCAGCATCTTTCACGGGTGGCACGCCAATGGCTGCTAAGGCGTTCCTCTCAGTCCAGGGAAGCCGCGGAAATTGGACACCTCCGAGACTGGAGATAGTGGACCAGGAAGTTGCAAATATAGCAATAAGTGGTACCGCCCATAACAGATGGTAGCGTTTCTTTTCTGAAGGCGGCTTATCTATCCTAGCCACATATATCAGGTTATTCATGCAAGAATTCACCAAGGGTGCTACAGAAGAAGCAAAACTCTGAGCTCTGGGTATTGTAATTTGTACATAACTTTTCATGCTTTTCAATCCTAAATCTGTTTCTTACGGACGTGCTGAACTTCAGCCTCATTCCGTTCTAATTTTGAATTCTTTAATTTATTCCAGCACTTCGTGCACAATATAGCGGTCTGTGAGGTGCAGCATTTTCCATGTCTCACTCCAAAATGGTTGAAAAATTAAGAAAATTCCGGCGGAAGTGAATGTGTGCGGGCGGAAGTGAATGTGTAAAGATTTCTGTATTATAAGGAACCAAATCTCACATTCACCTCCGAACTTGGGCTATGATTCTCTCTTTACTTCGAATCGCGTGATCCGTTTCAATTGTATATTTTTGTTTGGTTCATGCATTTTGGAATGAAACTTTTCAGATGTACTATTTATCGCTAGCAGAATCATAAGATGTTGAAAAAGCAGAATCGTGGGAAAGATACCTCATATTGGTTTCCACTTACGTACCTAACACCATGGGTAGAGCACACCATCGCGTTCTGGAAAATTGTTGAATAAAAAGGCATCACCTCTCCAAATTCCCTATTCTTGTACGGCGCACTTTCCCATCGAACCTACATACCAGCTTACCAAGCTTTCCGAAAAAATTGCTCCCGGTAGTTTGATCCTAAGGTAATGCGCGCAAAGCGGGAAAAGTTCAACAATCAAGAAAATTCATTACGTAATCTAATTCGAAAACGTGGGAGGTTTTATATAAATGAAATGAACGGGAAAGCAGGCAAAAAGTAATATTGGCTTCAATTAAGTATATCCCTCTCCCATCAATGACCGCTCCTAGTGTCAGGAGTCAGTGGAGCATGCGCAATGCGCTGCGAAGCATAATTATAGTTCCACCCATGAATCTTACAAAATCCTGTCTTACACGAAGTTCTCCAAAATGCCCCCATACAAATATGTGGTAATTACCGATACCAATTCGCATGCCAACAACAAACAACAACTTGAAAAACAATTTTTTTTCGTCAATTTTTTTCAAAAATGGTCGTTCTGACAACACAGCAGAAGTATATGTAGTTCCATCGGACAAATCGAATATCCCAACAACAAGGGTACAATAAAATGAATAAATTTTGACCCAGGAATCTGCATTGCGTCCCAATAGTATAGTTCCACACATAAGTTTCACAATACCCCGCCCTACACGAACGTTTTCGAATAACCTTCATATAGAAAATATGGTAATTACCAGTGCCAACTTGCATGCCAACAGCGAGAACTAACTTTCCAGAGCAACTTCAATTTTCTTTATTTTGTGAAATTTCTCACTTGGACAATGTCCTAAAAGTATAGTTCACCAAACGAATCGATTTATAAAACAACAGGTGTACAACAAAAAATGAATGAATTGTTAATTCTATAATCTACAGCAAGCCCCATTTTTTAACAAACTGGAAAATGCGGTGTATGATGCTCGAATAAAGGTTTTAAACCAGTTTTCGGTCGACATGCTGCCATGCATCAATTATTGAGTTCTTGAGCTCACGGGAATTGTGGAACCGTGAACTTGTTCGTATAGATGGCGTACCAAATGAATGACGCGATTGGGTTAAAGTCGGGGCTATCGCCTGGCCAGGGCAAAAGAGCGATTCGATGACGACTGAACCACGTTCGAGTGTTTCGGCTGACATGAATTGGTGCATTGTCTTGCATGAAAACAGGACTTTCTTGCTGATTTCTACACCAAAAGGAGGATAATCGTCGCATGACTTTAGATAGACGGAAGAAATTCATTTTTTTTCATACGGGGCACAGTTTCAGAAGTTCCATTGATGCGATGGCACCCCAAGCATGAGATCATCCGCAGAAGTTCAGCCCGGAAAAATGAAGTTGTTTCCCTCAGGTCGTGCCAGCAGGATCGGTTTTCGTCCTGAGCCGTCGCAGCCGAATTTTTCTCATCAGAAAACACGACCGCGAGAAAAGAAAACTCAAAAAAGGACAAAGACAAGCAGCAGGGATACTTTTGCTGCGTTGTCAGAACGACCGTTTTCGAAAAAAAAAAATTGACGAAAAAACTGGTTTTCAAGCTAGACTTCGGTGTTGCATGCAAATTGGTATCGGTAATTAGCACATTTCCTGTGTGGGGGCATTTTCGAAAACGTCGTGTAAGACGGGATTTTGTGAGGTTCATGGTGGAACTACGATTATGCTTCGCAGTATACTGCGGTACAATAAATTTCTTTACTAGCAGTAATAGGATCATATAGATAACTGGCTAGGTACGAATAGATAAGTGGCTAAGTGGCGGCAATAGTCGACGAGCAGCAGTCGAAGTCAGCCGTCCGCGCCGACCGAAATCTCGCATCTCCTCCGTGTCCGCCCTATAGTCTTCGTCATCTGAGATCATGAGATCAGAGAGCGCATAGCTTTCACCCCTTACACAGGAGGCCTCTAGACACCTACCACTTCAGCTTTCCAACAAATGCGAATGATTCTGTCAACCTCCTTCACTATTGAGAACTGTCGTAGCTTGTGCTTTTGAAAGTGAGCCTTCATTGACTTGAGAAGTTAAATCGCACACACTGTAAGTCGAGTGAATGAAGGCGACTGAACTCAAGTCGCGGTGCTGTCTATACTACATATACAGGGGGGGGGGTAAAAAAAGTCACTTTGACACAAGTCACATATCAGCAAAGTTTTCGCCCCCCAGACAGAGGATGTGGATACGATTACCAAGGGCCAAGATACCCAAGATGTTCCTCTATAAGCAGGAGCTGTCCCTTGCCCATCACCTTCCTGTACGCTAAAATATGAAGTCCTCTCCAGTCGCACCCTGACTGGAGAAGACTTCGGAATTCATGTCACCTAAAAATGCTGCAAAACTTCCAGTATGGAGTCACCCATGGATTGGCTACCTGGAGACCAAGTACTCTCAACTGCTGGAGCCTCCAACATCGAGCAGCTTTGTCAACGTCGCTACGGTCTAGGACATCATCTTCACCCCATTCACCAAGGCGCGTGGTTGATGGGGTGACGCGGCCGTACCTGGAATGGGAAGACCGATATTTTCTTTGTAGACCCGGACTGAAGGTGAGCGCTGGCGATTACATCGAGCAACTCCAGAGGAATATCCTCCCCTACTGTCGTTCGCCCCTACCCTCTTTGAAGACCTTGTACTGCTACAGGTTTGGGTGCCACACATGGAATCGAAGCTTTTGGAAAAACAAATCGCCTACATCGAATGGAAGGGCATCTCATGCCTGAAGAAGATCCATATCAAAGTATGTCCTCTACCCTAAACCACTCATTTACCCAGTTCGAACCAGAGTTTAATAAGGTGGTCTACGGTGGCGGAAAAATCGACTAACTCGGTGATCTCAAGCACGAGTCCGCGGTCGCGTGCCAGAATCTCTCGATGGCGCCCGTCCAGAAGGCTGTGCCTGAGTGTAATGATAGTATCGAATATCCCTTTAATAAGGTGGTGAACTGTCCGATAATATTTTTACTAAAGTGTACTTACAGCGCCTCGAAAGCTAGTGAGGCAAAGTGACTTTTTTTGCCCCCCTGTATGTATATTTATGCATATATACTTAACATAGTATAGTGAATAGTGAAGTATCCATCACCCATATATATCACCCCATATATAATTCGGTTCATCTGTTTGTTTGTTTTTTGATTGTTTATAAGTTTGTAAGTCTGTTTGTAGTTTTCTTGTCAGTCCGGAAATTCGGTTCGATAAGTTTGTTTGTAAGTTTGTCTGTCGCGAAATTCCGTTCGACTTGAAGAACGACACTTGGAGAGGTCTGGTCAAGGTAGGGATGGGTAGAGCATAGGACAAGAAATAAAAAGTAGCACTTGACCTATGAGAAGCCCCTCTCACAGTGGGCGGGCACTTGCCGAAAGTTTGGGGTTCCGCATGAAGTGCTCATAATTCGCTTCCGGAGCAGCTCAAAGATGAGGAAAAAGGGAATAAGTTTAGTCTCGCGACTAATGTGGCAGACACATCCAAAAGGGGCGGTGCAAAAAGGGCGGGGCGTACTCAAGGTGGGCGGTGCTTCTCCAAAATCAGTAACCCGGTTTACGATAGTGTTTGGAAGTCGCAAAAAGCTCAGTGTAGAATGTACATATCTGCGGCGAAAGAATAGGGCACGCTCAAAGTGTGTTGAGACACGCCCACAGTGGGCGGAGCTTGCCCTAAGTCGCAGTGTATTCATTTCAAAAGTTTGTAGCTCGGTTCCAGAACACTCCAGACACCGGAAAAAAGTGGACTAAGGTCAGGTGAGGCGCTGGTGAGGATTGTTGGGCAAAAACTTTGTGGGCGGAGCCTGCTCCGAGGTGGGCGGAGCCAGAAAAAAGGTCTGTAGAACGGATCCAGGGCACTTCGAAGACCGGAATAAAGTGAACAGGTCAGCAAGGGGTCGCCGATTGAGAAATGTGGTGTATACATATTGTGGGCGGGGCCAGCCCGAGGTGGGCGGAGCCAGACGAAAATTTTCTAAAACTGTCCCAGAGCACTTCAAAGACCGAAAAAAACGTGGGTTAAGGTCAGCAGAGGGTCGCCAGTAAGGACTGTGGGCGCGTAGTCTGCTTCGAGGTGGGTGGAGCCAGACAAAAATTCTAAAGAACGGTTCCAGAACACTAAAGACACAGGAGAAAAAGTGGAGTACAGAACAAAAGGCGGATATCAGTTGAGTTTAGTATGTGAAAGAGATTACGCGCGGCGAAGGAGGAAACGGAGGTGCATCTGAGCCTCATGGACAGCCGGAGGCGAGGATGCTTCCAATGCACCTAGTGGATTGTCTTCTCGTGACCCGTATAAACGTACGCGGGGCTCGTCACCGCAGGCTACGGCCGTACCTTCCTTTTTCTTCCTAGTTGTTTTTAATTGCTATTTATTAATTAATCAAAAAATTAATCAAAAAAATTAATTAATCCATAAACTCGAGGCGTGATAATAGTAACCACCCCATTCAAAATCGTGGAGGATTTTAATCAACTAAAAAGATGAGGGAAATAGAAAAAGTAATATTTTGGCTTGAGGGGAAGCAGGTCGTTCTTTCGTCGCTGACCCACCTGAGTCAGGAGCGTTTGGGCCACTGGCACCGTCGTTTTTTTTCAAGAAGTGCAAGTGCGAGAAAATTGTTCTTGATGCCAATTTCGGCAAGTGACAAAACGTCGCAGCGCTCGCCGTTGGATATTACTTTCAACTGATCAGAGCAGCTGAAATAGCA